GGGCCGGGAGTGGGGATCAGGGGTTGGGCTGGGGTCTGGGTCAGGGGAGAAGCAGGGAGGCTAGTGGAGCCCCTCTTTACTCACTCACTCTTCCACTCGGCTGTCCCAGGCCATTTGCACATCTTTGTCCTCCCACCTTTAGCCTGTTTTGGGTCCACTTCCTGCCTCTCTTCCCCCTATTAATGTCCCCCTGAGGGGCTCCCATGGCAGGCTGCAAAGGCACAGTCCCCTGGGGTTCCCAGGGCCCATAGCTATCCTGGAGACCTTCTCCAGGGCGCTGTCCAGGGTCCACTCCTTGCCTGGCCCATTCCCTTGTGTCTGCTCACTTGTCTACAAGAATTAGCTATGACCTCCCTATCCCAACCCACAGGGGTCTAGCTTCCCACCCACACCCCTTCCCAGGACAGCTTCCTCTTCCCTGCTAAGATGTCCCAATGGGCCCATTATGCAACCTGAATAAAGTTAACCACTCGCTTCCCCTTGCAGAAGCTTTCTTTCACCCCTCTCCTGCATCCCAGATATTGACTTCTACTGTGGGTCTGCTCATGCTTAATTAAAGAGTTAATTGTTCAATTACTTATCTTCCACCTTTCCAACTAGATAGTTGCTCTGGGGAGCAGGCACTAGATGCCCAGCCGACTGGCTGGCCTACAGCAGACACTCAAATTAAGCGTTTGATGACACAGGTGGTAAACTTGCGTTCCCCTGCCATGGTCAAGGCCAAAGGATGAGCAGCTAGCTCCTCCCATCCCCAGGCAGGCTGATGGATGGGCACAGCTCACCTTAACTGACCATGGCTGGGGGAAGGACTTCCTGTGATTTTACTGCTTATTATAGTTAAGGTCAGAACGGGGGCATTCCCGAGGCTCATTGTGAAGGTTGCCTTAGATTCTGGGTCTTGGAATGTTCTTAACAAACCCTGGGGGTGGCAGGAATGTTATCAAGTTACTGCTCCCACTCCCCCTCCACGGCTTGGCCATGGAGACTGGTCTGGATCACTCTCTCTCCTCTAGTTCCTCTTGCTGTGTGAGCTCAGCTGAGTTACTCTCCCTCTCTGGACCAACCTCATAAAACGTCTCAGGGTCCCTGGGGAGCACGGGGCAGTCAAAAAGGTGAAAATGGCTTCTGTTCACCTGTCTGGAGCACCTGGGAGTATTTGTCAGGCCAGCATGGGGCATCCTAGAGGGATGGAGAGGGACTGGAGAGGATGCATCCCCAGGAGCTAACCATTCCATTTCTCCATTTGGGGGATGTGGCCCGGTTTCCTCATTTGTAAAGGGCACAACTGATCAGAGTCCATAGGTTCAGGGAAGATAGATAGATAGATAGATAGATAGATAGATAGATAGATAGATAGACAGACAGGATGCTCTATGCACAGCTCTTACAGCAGGCAGTAAGGGCTCATAGGTGGGAGCTGCCCTCTTGACTGCTGAGCAGAGTTCACATCTGTCCCCTGGGGTCTGCCAGGGCTGGAAGGTCTGCTGATCCTTCACCATGTGAGGAACCGGCCAGGACATGACAAGGTGTGGGACTGAGCCCCAGTAGAAGTCCTGAGGCCACCCTGTTGACCACAAACCTTCCTCATGGGGACCTCACTGAGTTTGGAACCACTCCTAGGAGAAGAAAAATCTGACTTCTCAAGCCATGGTTGGCCTCTTTGTGGGCAGAGAACATGTCTTCTCCCTGTGACCTAGGATGCACCTATGGGATGTGGAGAGGCCTCCAGGACCCTCCTGTCCCCAGAGGAAGGGAGCAGGAGGAAGCAGAGATTCCCTCCATCCATGCAGAATCTGGACGCCCTGTGCACTGCAGAGGCTGCCAGGGGATCTGCTGTGGCTCCTTCTGGGGAGATGACGACCTCTGTTTCCTTGTAGGTCCCCCCCACGGAGCAGGGCTTGAGGGTCATAACTCAGCTGGTGGCCACGTACACCCAGGGGTTTAAGTTGTGGCTGGGCCCCACCATCCCCCTGGTCGTTTCTTGCCACCCTGACATGGTCCGGAGTGTCACCAGTGCCTCAGGTACTCATGCAGAGCTTGTGGTGGTGGGCGCCTTGACACAACCCAGCGCTTTTAATCTCCTCATCTCCAAGCTTCCCTGCAGCCCCTGCAGGTCCCTGGCCACTCCACCCCTTTTCTCTCTCAGCATCTTCCTCTTCCCTTCTTATATTCTCCAACCCCCTTCTCACCCTCTCCTCCCTCCACTGCTGTCTGCTTTCCCGCCCCCACCCTGGTGCTCTCGACACCACTGGGGCCCCAAGAGGCCTCATTCCAAGGTTCTGTCCTGGAGGAATCCCCAATCTTGAGAAGATGGATCTAGACAGAGAAATCCCCAAACTGGTAAGGTAAGGAATTGGCCAGAAGGAGATGGCTGTGGCAGCCCAGCGGAGAATCAAGGCCTCTGTTGGGGCAGGCTGGAAGACTTCCTGGAGGAGGAGTTACTGGACCTGGGTCTGGGACAAGACTAAAAATTTTTTAAAAGCAGAGGGCAGAGTGATGCTGTGGACATCCATAGCATCTGAGGTCTCCTGCTGGGCCTGGTCTCGCGCTCACCCATCCCCAGGGCCAGAGCAATGAGGGTTGGCAGCGGGTGGAGTGCCTCAGCTGCTATTTCTGTGATATCCACAGACACTCTGGTGGGTTGGTTCCTTCCACCCTATCCTACAGCTTGTCCACTGCATGTTCATTGCCCTCCTGCTCCAGGCCCCAGGAATCTCCCTGAGGAGAGCCCACCCCAGCCTGGCTCCCTTCCCGTCTTCTGCTTCTTCCACCTCCAGACAGATCAGGCTGAACAGGGAAATGAGCAGCATCTGACAGAGACCTTGGCTTTGACACCCAAATTCTGGGTTAGCAGGGAAGACCCCCAGCTCTCTCTGGCTGCCAAGGTCTCTTTCAATTGTGAGTGATGGAAACTCAACCCCATATGGTCTAATCAAAGAAAGGACATCTATTTATAGTGAAGTCCAGGGATGTTGTCTTCAGGTATGGCTGGATCCAGGTTTCAAACGACATCATCAAAATCTGTCTTCATTTTTTTTTTTTTTGGTTCTGTTTTGCACTGTGATGGCTTCATTCTCATTCTTGTAAAGATGAGTCCCAGAAGCTCAACCCCTGTGGAAAAGTCAGCTTATTCCCAACAGTTCCAGGAAAAGTTGCAGAATTCCCTTTAATTTTCCTGGCCTGCACCCCAAGGTCAATTTTTAATTAATTAATTAATTAATTTTAAAAATTTTTATTTATTTGAGAGAGAGAGAGAGACTGCACAAGCAGGTGGGAGGGGCAGGGGGAGATGGTGAAGCAGACTCCCTACTGAGCAGGGAGCCTGATATGGGACTCAATCCCAGAACCCCAGCATCATGACCTGAGCTGAGGGCAGACGCTCAACTGACTAAGCCACCTAGGTGCCCCAATTTTTCATTTAATTGCTGTGGATCTGATTGCCTGGTTTTGGCAAGCCTAAGTTCTCAGAGCTATTATTTTGGGACTCAAAGCAGTTCAGTAGCTAAGAACAGAGGCTCTGGGTTCAGACAGACCTGGGCTTAGATCTCAAGAATGTACTCAGTACCTGGGAGATTGTAGGCAAGTGACTTCATCATTCAGAGCCTCAGTTCTCTTATCTGGAAAATGAGGTTAGAAGAGAAGCCAGGTGAACGTGGTGTTTGGGATCCCAAATGGGGAAAGACCCTTTTTGTTTTTGTAATCAGGGGACCCCAGTTGTCATATAGATGGTCTGGGGAGGGATCCCAGGAGGAGGCTGGGCTGCTGGAGGGGATTCATGAGGCTCAGGTCTGGGTCTTGCCCTGCACGTCTTTCTATCCCATGGCCACCTAGAAAGAGTGTGAATTGGGTCCTCTTTGTTCCTCTCCAGATTCAGAGCTCAGAGGAAGGTCTCCTGTACACACGGGACCTGGCAAGGAGCTATGGGGATGTGTGCTGCTGGTGGGTGGGTCCCTGGAACGCAGTTATCCGCATCTTCCACCCCACCTGCATCAAGCCTGTGCTCTTTGCTCCAGGTAGACACACCATGGTCACGGCTTACTCACTGCTGAGGTCTTTGTGCTGCTTCCAGCTTGGCTGGTGGCCCAGTTGCAGATGGGGGGTGGGTTGTGGTAGAGATGCCACTGTCTCTGTCTCACCTGGACCCCCCCGCCAGACCTGCAGTCATGTGTGCTCACGCCTAGGGTGTGATTGTGCAATGTCTGCTGGGTGGCCGTGTCTGCTCACATTTATATTTCCACCTGCCTTCTGGTTACAGCTGGTATACATCATGCTTGATTATACCTGGTATATAGTTATACCTGAGATCAAGTGAAGATGCCTTTAGTCATGTCTGGAGCTTGTCTGTGGCCAGGGATATTTGAGGCATGTGTGGGGTCTGTCTGGTTTTCGTCTGAGATACCATTTGAGATGTCCGGTTCTTCTGTAGGTCATGTCTGGGCCACGTTTGGGGTTTGTCTGAGGTCAGTGACCCAGAGTCCTGAGAAATGCTGAGGGCTTATGTGAGTCTTGTCCAGGGCAGGTCTTAGGATATGTCCGTGTCATACCTAGTCCACAGCTGTGACATTAGTGGGTCATATTTAAGTCCTGTCTGGACCATCTCTGGGTCACACTGAGGTTTTGTCAGGTTGTTTTTGGGTCCATGTCAGAGCATGTTGCATCCTGTCAGTGTAGGTTATGCATGTTGTTTCATGTCAGGACATGTCAGGACATAGCCCAACACCTGGTGGGGCCATGTCAACTGTTGCAGGAGAGGTCAGGGGGCTCTGGGACAGATGAGGTGTCCTACTTTCCTGTAAAGGCATTTTGTGGAGTGCTGATTTGTGTTTGGGTGTTTTGAACATGTCCGACCAGGTAGGAGCCATGTCAAGGTCTGTTGGGGTGTGTTGTGTCATGTTAGGGTGCATCTAAGTACATAAGGGTGTGTCTGCAGGCTCTGCCTTTGCTCTGCTCTGTGCTGCAGCCTGGTCTGGTCTCCCTTCACCCCCCCACTCCTCTCTGTTTCCTTTGCCGTTGTTTCCATTCCTATTATGCTGGGCTTGGAGGGGGTAGGCAGACCCCTGTTGGGAGCTTCTACCCCCCCAACCCAAAGTGCATCTCCTGATGGTCCTCATTCATGTCAGCTGCCATTGCACCTAAGGACTTTGTCTTCTACAACTTCCTGAAGCCCTGGCTGGGTGAGTAACTGTGGGTAAAGGGGACTGGGGACAACCTTGGGGGCCCAGGGAAAGGCACTGCTCTTGTCCACTCCTCCTGGCTGCCTCTACTAGGGGATGGGCTTCTGCTGAGTGCTGGTGACAAATGGAGAAGCCACCGCCACATGCTGACACCTGCCTTCCACTTCAACATCCTGAAGCTCTATATGAAGATTTTCAATGATAGCGTGAATGTCATGCATGTAAGTCTTCTGAACCCAGGGTCCCAGCTGAAGCCTTGGGGGTGATGGGGGCTCTGTGACGTCTTGTCTGGAATACTGGCTCTTCTAGGTTAGCTTTGGGGCCATTGCTCTTGCTCTCTGAGTCTCAATTTTCTCAGCTGTAAAATGGGAATAGTGGTCCTCACGTTGCAGGGTGGTCAAGATAATGTAATATAGTCATGTTCCTGGCACAAAGACGGTGCTCAGAAGGTGTTAGTTTCTCTGTTTTCCTTGCAAAGAAGCCTTGGAACCTGAGACCCAGTTGAATGTCCATGAACATTACACAGTAGTTATTACTGAATTAATGAACCACTTCCAAAATCACTGGTCCCAAACAATTGAGGTTTATTATTGCTAACAAGTCTGTGAGTCAGTTGGCTGGGTCTTCTGGACACGGATGGGGTCCCATGTACCTGTGATCAGCTGTGGGTCATGTATATACTTTGAAGATCTGGGCTCTCACATGTTTGGGGCTTGGCTGGCTGCAGGCTGATCTAGAGTGGTATCATCTCAGACAACTGAACTTTCTTTAATGTGATTCTCTCCCTCCAGAAGGCATTTCAGGTTTGTTCACATGGCTGAGGCAGGGTTCCAAGAGACTGAGAGGAAGCCTCAATGCCTCTTGAGATCTAGGTGTAGGGAGATCATCTCATCATTTTTACCATGGTCTATTGGTCAAAGCAAGGCAAAAGGCCAGCATAGCATCGAAAGGTAGTGAGAGAGGCTCCACCTCTTAATGGCAGTTGCTGAAAAATCACGTTGCAGAAGGTATGGATATAGGGAAGTGAAGAAATGGAGGTGGAGGTTTTGTAAAGTGCCTGGGATTTTTTTCATACTTGCAAGCTGAGGCGTGAGATTGTTATTGTTTTGTGGATTCTGTCAGAAGACAGGAGACTCCTGTGTCAGAGACAAAAGACAGTTTATTACTCATGGTACAACAAGCACACAGGCTTCTTGATTTGCATTCTTTCTGTAAGTCACCAAATCCCATGAGGATAACACAGGTGATCTTCAGTGCTTATGCAGTATGTTGCATGACAGGGTAGGGGTACCAGGTTTAGGGACTCTATGACTTTTTAGACATTAGAAGCAAGCCTGACATTTGTCCAGGGGGAAACATTACCCTATCCCTAAACACCTAAAGGTGTTTGCTGCAAACACAACTCTGAGAAATGGCTCAAGTATAGAACATCAGGGCCTTGCATTTTTGGGGGCATACCAGCAAGAATGTGCAGCTCATAGTGAAACAAAAGCAAAAATGAACTTTTGGGACTTCATCAAGATAAAAAGCTTCTGCACAGCAAAGGAAACAGTCAACAAAACAAAGAGGCAACCCACAGAATGGGAGAAGATATTTGCAAATGACACTACAGATAAAGGGCTGGTATCCAAGATCTGTAAAGAACTTCTCAAACTCAACACCCAAAAAACAAATAATCAAGTCAAAAAGTGGGCAGAAGATATGAAAAGACACTTCTCTGAAGAAGACATACAAATGGCTAACAGACACATGAAAAAACGTTCACCATCATTAGCCATCAGGGAAATTCAAATCAAAACCACATTGAAATGCCACCTTATACCAGTTAGAATGGCAAAAATGGACAGGGAAAGAAACAACAAATGTTGGAGAGGTTGTGGAGAAAGGGGAACCCTCCTACACTGTTGGTGGGAATGCAAGTTGGTATAGCCACTTTGGAAAACAGTGTGGAGGTTCCTCAAAAAATTAAAAATAGAGCTACCCTATGACGCAGCAATTGCACTCCTGGGTATTTACCCCAAAGACACAGATATAGTGAAGAGAAGGGCCATATGCACCCCAATGTTCATAGCAGCAATGTCCGCAATAGCCAAACTGTGGAAAGAGCTGAGATGCCCTTCAACAGATGAATGGATAAAGAAGATGTGGTCCATATATACAATGGAATATTACTCAGCCATCAGAAAGGACGAATACCCAACTTTTACATCAACATGGATGGGACTGGAGGAGATTATGCTAAGTGAAATAAGTCAAGCAGAGAAAGTCAATTAGCATATGGTTTCACTTATTTGTGGACCATAAGGAATAGCACAGAGGACATTAGGAGAAGGAAGGGAAAAATGAAGGGGGGAAATCGGAGGGGGAAATGAACCATGAGACACTATGGACTCTGAGAAACAAACAGGGTTCTAGAGGGGAGGGGGTGGGGGGATGGGTTAGCCCTGTGATGGGTATTAAGGAGGGCACGTACTGCAGGGAGCACTGGGTGTTATACGAAAACAATGGATCATGGATCACCACATCAAAAACTAATGATGTATTGTATGGTGACTAACATAACATAACAAAATTAAAAAAAAAAAAGAATGTGCAGCTCAGTGACCATGGGCTACCTCTCTCAAAAAGGAGATTTTTCTCTTTTTAAAAAAAGATTTTATTTATTTATTTGACAGAGAACGAGACAGCGAGAGAGGGAACACAAGCAGGGGGAGTGGGAGAGGGAGAAGCAGGCTTCCCGCTGAGCAGGGAGCCCGAAGGGGGACTGGATCCCATGACATGACCTGAGCCGAAGGCAGATGTTTAATGACTGAGCCACCCAGGCACTCCCAAAAGGAGACTTTTTCTTAATTTATAACAATGAAATGATGAAAGCTAACATTAAGCACTTACTATTGCTAGAAACTATGTGCACATTCCATGACATATAGTGTCTCATTTGATTTTCACAACTCTATAAGGTAGAGATAATCTTGTCCATTACAGGTGATAAAAATGAGGTTCAGAGAGGTTAGGGAGCTTGCGCACATTCACACAGCTAGCATGTGAGCTAATAAGTGGAGCTGGGATTCCATCCTGGTTTATTTGACACCAGAGCAAGTCATCTTAACTGTTACTGAAGCTTTGGCAGGTGGAGCCCAGAGAGGGCAATGAGTTGACCAAGGGCACACAGAGTATAGGAGGCAGAGCCAGAATTTGAACCCAGGTCTCCTGACTCTCAGCCATGGGATCTTAATAATAACAGCTTCTACTTCTACCCAAGCCTGGTCCTCCTTGGGGATGGGTGCCTGGGGCCAGGAGGTTGGGTCTGGGGGATTCCATCTTGGAGGTTGGTGTTGAGAAGGGCTTCAGGGGAGGCAGGTTCCAGACCCTGCTCTGCCTCCTTCTCTTCCCAGGCCAAGTGGAAACGCCTGGTGTCAGAGGGCAGCACCCATCTGAACATGTTTGAACACATCAGCCTCATGACCCTGGACAGTCTGCAGAAATGTGTCTTCAGTTTTGACAGCAATTGCCAGGAGTGAGTCTCTGCCCCGGGCATGAGAACATAAGGGAGTGAATGGGGAAGGGAGGACTGGTCAGCACAATCAGAGGGGACTTCCTGGAGGAGATGGATCAGAGCTAGACATTGAAGGACAAGGAAGGGAAAGAGAAAGAGTGATCCTTTCAGGTAGGTAGAAATGTTTGATAAAGGCCATGGGGCCACAGTGAGCAAAGCATGTGCCACAGTGAGGAGCCACCTTAGGAATGAGGTTGGAGGGTTTGGCAGGAGCTGTATCTTAAGGACTTTCAAGATACAGACAAAGGCATATGAACTTTATCCTGAGGTTTCCAGGGAGGCATGGAAGGTGGTTGAGCAGTTGAGGGTCATGGTCAAAGCTGTTCTTGGACATCTGACTCTAGAGAAGACCAATCGTTGTGTAGACGGCGGATGGTATTGACATTGAATGCAAGACTAGGGAGGGGCCTGGGTCCACTGACCAAAGGGGAGAAGATAAAGTCTGAATTGCATGGAGAAGGAGGAGGAAAGCATAATGTCTCAACTGGGATAGGGTGCCTGGGGCATGGGGGCTGCTCATAGAAATGGGAATCAGGGAGAGAAGAAATTCTGGAAAGTCACGTCTCCTGGATCATCCCCACCATGTACCTGTGGGGCCATCTCTTCTCGGATACTCAGTTTTCTGATTGGAGGTAGCTCCCAGCTTCTGGTGGGAGGCATTTTCTCAGTCTTCAGGTGAGCTAAGCTGTTGCCCCCCCCTTCATGTCCCCATCCTGCAGGAAGCCTAGTGAATATATTGCTGCCATCTTAGAGCTCAGTGCCCTTGTGGCAAAACGGCACCAACAGATCCTCATGCACACGGACTTCTTGTACTACCTCACTCCAGATGGACAGCGCTTCCGCAGAGCCTGCCGCCTGGTGCACAACTTCACAGATGCTGTCATCCAGGAGCGGCGCCGCATTCTCTCTGATCAGGGTGTTGATGACTTCCTCGAGGCCAAGGCTAAGACCAAGACTTTGGACTTTATTGATGTCCTCCTGCTGACCAAGGTGGGTTTCTCTGGGATCTGAATTCAAGAAGTAGAATGGGTTTTGATTTCAAATTTCAGATTGAGGAACTGAAACTTGATTCAGAGGGCACTGGGGAGCCATGGAAGGTGCTTGAGGAAGGGAGGGATGGCTTAGGGATATGTTTTAGAGATGACTTTGTGGAATGCAGCCTGCAGGGGACTGCTATGTCTGAAACTGGGAAGGGCCTGAGATTTTATTCGACTTAATATGGTAGTCTA